TTTAAATTACAATTTCCGTCTCGTTATCTGTTAGATCAGTTTGAAACTTGAACTGAAAGTAACATAATAGCATGAGCTTCCAAGGAAATTTACAGGAGCTGGTCCCCACACATATATATGCCCTAGTTCCAATTTCTCTTTCTTTGTTATCCTTTCCGCCTTTGAGAAACTGACTCTCTTTTATTTTTCATAAATTCAATCTTCACACAAACCTAATTCAATATGCTTGAGGTTTGGCAATTTTTTTTAACTTCATTCCTTTTTCACTCATATGCCCAAGCCTTCGGTGCCACAATGTTGTGTCACAATCATGGTCACCTGCTACTATTGTATCTCTCGGTGTAGCTGTTACATACAGATACATTGTTCCTTTCTAGGATCCTCGTACCAGAACTAAATATTCTTTGGTTATATTCCATGACCCATTATCGAATATTGTTGTGTATCCTACACTGTCAATTTGACCCATGGATATTAGATTTTTCTTGATGCCAGGATCTTGTCAAATATTTTATAATTTTATCGTCCCTTGTAAAGTCTTTATATGGACTTTACCTTTTCCGACAATATCTAAAGGTTCGTCATATGCTAGATAAACCTTTCCGAATTTTCCAGCAACATAGTATGCAATAATTCTTTGTATGGGTAGAGTAAAAAGATGAACCTAAGCCCAGAACCTATTATTCGACCGGACTGTCTGCACAACAAATTAGAGCATCACCAACTTGTTCAGCAATTACATTTGCTGAATTATCATCCTTGTATTAAACGTTTTTTTTTTCTTCGTTGGTTTTCTACAATGATTAATGTAGTGACTTTCTTTATCGCAATTCCAAGATGTAATGTCTTTCTGATTCTTAGATTTCCCTTCTCTCCTTGAGTTTGATCTGCCATGTTCATGATTTTGTCCTCTTTGGCTGCTTCTCCCCCTACTTTCAGTATTCAAAGCAAATTATAAGGAATCACTTGATTCTTTTTGGCGAATATCTTCGCTTAGAATCATGTCTCTGATATCGTCCAATTTGACTTTGGTATCTCCTTAGGAACTACTAATTGCAGTTACTGTTGCAGACCAAGTCTCCAGTAGAGATGATAGTTGAATCAGCGCCTTGAATTTGTCATCAAATGATATGTTTACAAAACTAACTGAGTTAATATTGCATTAAACTCATTGATATGTTCCATAACAGATCCACCTTCTATCATCTTAGGTTGAACAATCAGCGCATTAAATAGACTATATTTGAAGCGGATGACTTCTCTTACATATTTGATAACGTTTTCGTCAGACATGCAATGCTCTTCTCGTTAATAATGTTGAACGCCACATTTTGTGTCAGCGTCAAACGAATCACATCAAGATCTTGGCGATCTAATAGATCCCAATCCGCTTTGGCCGTATTCTCCGGTTTTACCCTGTCAGAGGTAACTGTAGTTGTTTCTGGTACAGATAATTTTCTATTTACATTTTTCAAAATCCAGAATCTTTACCATTGAACTTGTCAATCTTAATCTTCTCTTCTTTCGGGTTATTTCTTTACAATTTTTTTATGTGAATAGTGCCTGTGAATAGTAACTGTGAAAACTACTCTGAGTAGGAAAAATATCTCAACCGTACAAGGTAGACAACGCTCACTATTGGTGAATAATACTATCACTATTAATGAATAGTACTTCACTATTGTGAATAGTATTAGTATTGATGAGCAATAGTGTTGCGCTATTCTTATAAACAGTAATACTACACTAATATTGTACCTTTTTACCATAATTACACTATTTATGCTCTAATACCAGTTGTTGAGAAGCATATCAGTCTATTAGAAGAGAAAAAATAATTAATAGAGAAAAATAATAAATTGCACAAAACAAGACAACACAAGATTTACGTGGTTGGACAATTTTTGCCGACTTAATGGCTACAACAAGAACAACTTTTTATTAAAGAAAATAAGAGAAGAAGTTGTGATGGGTGATCTGCAAATGAAAAGGCGGAGACCCTTTAATAGACATTTGAATGCCATGCTGAGGTAATCACTTATGTCATAGGAAAGGAATTCGAAGATAAATTCTTCCGCCTGACAGCTAATCTACTTCTTACTATCTTTTCTCCTATGCAGACAAACAGATAACTTTGTTTTTTCTTGTCGTCTGTTTTTTTACTTCTTTTGTCTTCCTTTTTTGACTTTGTCTTTCTTTCTTTTACATGCAGGGTTTTCTTTGTTGGGATCGAAATAAAATGGTATCATGAGAAAGCTAACAAAGAGAACTTTAATGATAGTAAATATGGCACAAGACAAACATATCAAAAGAGACTATCATTTAAAGTGGTTTGATCAAGTGACCTATATCAATCTATTAATATATTTAAAAAAAATTATTGAGAGAATAAATTCTCCCACTAAATATAGTTTTCTGAAAAACTACATTGTGGATATGTAAGTGAGCAGATACATAACTCTAGAACCAAAGATCCCAATGGCTATTTCTTCCCAGTTCACTGAGGAACACGTGCCACCGCATGGAGGCCCCTGACGGAGGCCAAGCGGCGCGTCTGGCCTACCTCTGTTTTTGTGGGTGCTGTAGATGAGAACATGCCTCTTAATGGCTATGTTCAAAAAATTGAGTGGGAGAATGTCCCCAAATACTTTAAGCACTGCAGAAAGATAGGATACTCTCTGGTTGACTGCTGGATTGTCGAGAAAATGAGACGAGATGAGAATGAAAAAAAGAAGGAAGAAGTAGGGGAGGCAGGTAAGGAGAAACAAAGGGATGTAGGCAATGTTAGACAAGAACAAAATACTGGTGCTGGCATTATAGAGGGGAATTGGCAGGTTCCTAATACAAAAAGAAACAGTCCAAAGCTATTAAGGAGAGACAAATTGGGAATGGAAACGACAACGACCAAATGAAGGTAATAGCAATTAATGGTGAGCAAGTCAGCAATGTACCCAAATCCGATATTGAAGCTCCAATGGAACAACCTAACAATGCCTATGATCATAAAAGGAAAGAAGACAAAAAAAAGAAGAAGAAGGTGATGCCCAAAAAGAAAAGCTCGGTTACATTCAAACCTGTGGTGAAAAAGAAGAAGAAAGACACGATTAAAAATGCTTTGGGAGGTAATCTGATTGACACAAATTCTGCCATAGAAGAAAGCCTAAAGGAGTTGGGGGTTGCGGAAAAGAACAGCCTAAAAACATAACAAATAATCAAAGAGAGACCCACAATGCCGGCCCGGACAGTACAGAGAATGTTGATGAAAGCTGCCCGATACAGGATAAGGATGCCAATAACAACAGGGAGGATGATGGACAAAAACTCGATCCTGATAAGAGTGCAAACAACCCAATGACACAATGCCAGGACTCGGGGAGTGTAAACATGAGGGAAACAAGCAGAAATCAAGAAAAATCTACTACAAAATCAGAGTCCTTACCCTCAGAAATCAAGAAACATCCTGGAATACAAGTAGTGGTAGACTTTGGTGGATACAACATCGAATAAAAGAGACTACAAGACCAGTGCAACATGATCGAGGAAGAAACTGAGAATGCCAATATGTCTAGCTCAGACAACAGTTACGAAACTCTCAATAAACAACCTGAAGACCCGGCTGAAACTCACCTCAAAGAACTGACCAACAGGCAGGGTATCTCCCATGTTAAAAGAGGCAGAAGCAGGAACAGAAAATCTGGAAAGAACAAAGACAAGATACATCGTTCCTCCAGGGGAAGGAGTCAAAGCTGATTCACCCCCACTTATTTCCATGATCAGTGCAATAATATGGAATATAAGGGGGGTGAGGACTAAAAAGGCCTTACCAAGATTGAAAAAGCTCTGTCACATCAATAACATTGACTTCGTCGCCATCATGGAACCTTTCATTGACAAGAAGAAGATTGAAGGTTACATGAGACATTTGGGATTTCAACATTGCCAAGCTAACATAAATGGACAGATTTGGTGTTTCTGGAAACAGGACTATAATACTGTTATCATTGCTAATGAAGAACAACAACTCACTATGAAGCTCTCTCATAGTGGTCAAGACAAGGAACTCAACATCACAAGTGTATGCCAAATGTACTGCTAGGGAAAGAAAGGATCTTTGGACCATTCTTGAAGACACTCACTCAAGCATCAATGGCCCATGGTGCGTGGGGGGCGATTTCAATGTTATCATGGATCCGGAGGAGAAATTGGGGGGTACCCCCTATAGAATGTCTAAAAGCTTTGATTTCACTAATTGTATGGATCACTGTGAGGTTGTAGACATTGGTTTCATTGGGCCTAAATACACTTGGTGCAATAACTGGAGACCAAGTAAAAGAGTTTGGAAGAGGCTTGATAGGATCTTCATCAACGACACCTAGGCTCACCTATTCCAGAACTACACAGTCAAACATCTCAACAGGCCGGGTTCAGACCATAGACCCCTTTTATTCAAAAGCAAACTCAACCAATCAACGGCAATAAGCTATTTCAGATTCCTTAACTTGTGGACTAAGCAGCCAGATTTCCAAGACTTGGTTAAAAAAGTTTGGGACACTCCTATCCAAGGTAATCCTATGTGGACTCTACACCAGAAGATGAAAATTCATAGCAACAAACTTTCAAAATGGTCCAGAGAAAGCATTGGTAATGTCTATGATATGGTGAACAAATGGGAAAAAGAAGTGAAAACCTTAGAAGAGCTGGATCAATTGCGTAACACAGAGTCGAGCAGAGAAAACCTCAATAAAGGCCAAGCAGAGTACATCAAATGGCAAGCTATGCAAGAGTCCTTACTCAAACAGAAAGCCCAGATTCAATGGTTTGAAGAAGGCGATTGCAATACTAGATACTTTCACAGTGTTATTAGAGAAAGAAGATGAAAGACTCAGATCCACAGAATCAAGAATCAAAGAGGGAAGTGGGTTAGAAGTGAACAAAGAATTACGAAAGCTGCTATTAACCACTATGAAAAGCTCTTCAATCTCCCTAAAAAGGACCGCAACATGGATATCATAGATTGTATTCCCAAAATTGTTACTGAAGAAGACAATGACTACTTGACCATGATGCCCACAGAAGAGGAAATAAAGGAGGCTATATTAAACATATCCAGTGATAGTGCTGCTGGTCCGGATGGTTTCAACGGAGCCTTCTATCAGAGTTGTTGGCATATTATTAAAGAGGACATTACTCGATTTGTTCAGGATTTCTTCAAAGGAGCCCAGCTCACGAAGTATTTCTCTCATACCTGTCTGGTCCTTATCCCCAATATCGATGCTCCGGAGACATTCTCAAACCTAAGACCTATTAGTCTTAGCAACGTCTCTAGCAAAATCATATCCAAAATCCTTTCCAGAAGATTGAACCCGCTCCTGCCTAAGTTGATCTCTAACAATCAAAGCGGTTTTGTCAAGGATAGATTGATCATGAAAAATGTCCTCCTGGCTCAGGAAATCATCCAGGGCATCAACAACTCCAATAAAGGTGGGAATATTGTTATGAAACTGGACATGGAAAAAGCTTACGATAGGATGTCCTGGGAGTTCATTAATGCAGTGATGAGGAAGTTTGGTTTCTCAGAGAAATGGATCAACATGACTCAAAGGATACTATCCAACGTTTGGTATTCCATCCTTTTAAATGGCACCAGGAATGGTTTCTTTACTTCTTCCCAAGGGTTGAAATAGGGGGACCCTCTATCTCCGTCATTATTCATATTGGGATCGGAAGTGCTGACTAGAATGCTCAACAAGCTCCATGAGAATGAAAATTTCACTCCATTCACTATGCCAACTAAAGGGCCTAAAATTAATCACCTTGCTTATGCAGACGACATTATCATCTTCTCAACTAGAAACAACAAGACAATCAGAGTGATTATGAAACAGATTCACAAATATGAAAGGGCATCGGGCCAGAAGCTCAATGCAAACAAAAGCTTCTTCATAGCTGTTCCAAATATCAAAGCCAGGAGAATCAACAGAATCAGAGAAGTCACTACGTTCATGGATAAACCGTTTCCTATCAACTATCTAGGGTGCCCTATCTACATTGGAAGGAAGAAGATTTGTTACGTTGAAGAGATGGTCTCTAAAATTGTTAAAAGAATCAGTGGTTGGCAAGGAAGATTGCTATCATACGGAGGTAAAGTGGTCATTATCAAGAATGTGTTACAATCCCTCCCCTTATACAACCTCTCAGCCATGAACCCTCCAAAAGCTACGCTCAAGCTGATTGAAAAGCACTTTGCAAGATTCCTTTGGGGTTCCATTGGTGACAAAAATAAATTTCATTGGAGCTCTTGGAAAAACCTTTGTGTACCTAAGGAGGAGGATGGAATCGGAATTAGAAGAATGGAAGACATCAATGAAATGTGCAATATTAAGAGATGGTGGAGGTTCAAAACCTGCCCCTCATTATGGGCAGACTACTTAAGAGCTAAATATTGTAGTAGGTCCCATCCTGTTAAAAAGGCTATCAGTCCTGGCAACTCCCACTCCTGGAAAGCTCTTCTTCATGGGAGAGACATTGCTAAAAAGAATATCATTTGAAAGATTAACACAGGCAACTGCAGTTTCTGGTGGGACAATTGAACAGGTAAAGGACCACTTGCTAAAGTGGTCAATGATACTAACATTTCTGGTAAGCTTTCTGTTTCTCATTTTTCAGGAACGAGAAGTGGAACACGAACAAATTGGAGCAACTCATGCCCATCCATATAGTTCAACATATCAACACCATCCCTAGAGGGAAGCTGAACAATAATGACCAGGACATTTGGAACCTCACTGAGAATGGGCACTACTCTAATGCACCAACCTGGCACATTGTTAGAATTATCAACCAGAGAAATCTTCTTCTGAGCAAAGTATGGCATGATTGTATACCCTTCAAAATGTCCTTCCTAGTTTGGAGAATGATACAAAAAAAAGCTCACCTTTGATGACACCATTAGGAAATTTGGCAATCAACAGGCGTCGAGATGCAATTGTTGTAGAGACCCACAATCAGAAAGTTTGTTTCATGTTTTCATTGATAGTGAGGCTGCGAGAAATTTATGGGCATTCTTTGGAAATCCTCTGGGAGTTCGGCATCAAAATACTTCCATTAGTAGTGTCCTTACTCAATGGTGGCAGAGGAAACCAAAGAATATGGTCCATAAAATGATCCTTCGCATTATCCCTATCACTATCTCCTGGGAGCTATGGAGAAACTATACATCTTGCAAGTTTGGAGAAAGTAAGGAATTTGTGCTGTACAAAATGAAGTCTCAAATCATTTGGAATATTAATGCTGCAATCAACAAGAAATACCCCACTATCAAGACCCATTATCAATGGCACAAAAATTGTGAGATGATTGAACATCTTAAACCTGTCCCTATTTGGAAGAGGTTGATATGGGAGATGCCTCCCCGGGGGTACCTAAAGCTGAATACTGATGGAAGTCTTAACAAACAAAATGGGAAAGCAGGGATTGGAGGGATTCTCAGAGATGAAGAGGGAGGCTTTGTCATGGCCTTTTCGATGCCTATCATCTGTAATAGCATCAGTGAAGCAGAATTGAAAGCCATCAAGTATGGGTGTGAATGGTGCAAAAACAAAGGAATATTGAACTTCATTGTGGAAACTGACTCGAGGATGATCTATGACATACTACAGGCCAAAAATCTAAGCAACAACAAGCTGAAACAAGAGGCCGAGAAATTAATGGAGATTCTGGACACCTGCAGGGCACCTGTTACCCATTGCCTTCGCAAAGCAAATCAAGTGGCAGATTGGTTCGCTAAAGAGGCCACCAGAGCTAACGAAGGTATCACTCATACGGATTTTAGACAGGTACCAAAAGCGGCCAAGGGCCCTTTCTTCATGGATATGTGGCAGGTTCCTTCTTTTGGAATTAGATATGAAAAATCCAATTTTTTTGTAAGTTAACTCTGTGTATAGTGAGAGAAAATGGTCTAATATGTATTTTTTCCCATAGACTCTTCCTCTCCTTAGGTAGAAAGGTAGCTCCGAGGTAAGGTTTATGTCCCCCTCAGTGTAACCTTTTTTGTCTATATAATAGACATGGTAGGGGTCCAGCCAAACCCCCCCCCCCCCCAACACCACGGGGGATGAAAACCTGGGTGATTGGTTTATTTAAAAAAAAAACATTGTGGATATGTTGTTGTAGTGAGAAGCATAGATCCTCAATTTATAGATGTCAAAGACTTCTCCAAGAAAAGGATAGCGCATATGAAGGAGATTTATTCCTTTTAGGATTCTTTTTTCCTTTCTTCAAGACATCTTCAAGAAAGAGAGTACTAATAGAATAAAATTCAGGGCAAAACTCTGACATTCTTTCCCGTCAAGAAAATCGGTTCTTTCTTTACTGCAGCTTTACTCCGATCAGCAAACTTAAATTACATTTTCCTTCTCGTTATCCGTTAGATCAGTCTGAAATTTGACCTGAGTGTTTCTAAGGTTATGATATTTGATTTGAAACGGTTGTAGCTTCAAATTCCAAGCAGTAAATAGTAGCTGCATTTTGGGTGATTTCTCTATTTTTTTAGTTGATTTATTGTTGTTCTTGTTCGTATTGTTTCTTCTTGTTTGACATTGATATTGTTGTTATTTTGGATAATTATTGTATCTCTTTTGTTGGTTTAGTGAATCTTTCGTCCTATAGCTTTAATCTTCACATTTAAAAAGTATTATCGCATAAATTTTGGCTTGACTTGCCATACTTTTATTGCTGGTTGTTATAGTTGCTGTCCGAACATATTTTGTGCTTGTGTTTAGGTCTCCTCTTGGTTCGAATAGATTGATAAAGATTTAGACGGAATATCGTTCTGTGCGCTGCTACCTTTATCGTGCATTAATGTTTAATGCTTATTTTCACGAACACATGTGTCATTATTCATTAAGATATCAATATATTCGTGTAATTTACTTGTAATATGATTGATTCAGGACAAAAGTAAAATAATAGAAGATGAAATGGAGGAGCAAAATAAAGCAGCCAGAATTAAGCAACCAAGAGTTACTATTGTTCAGGAGAAACACATATAACTGTTTTTACATGCAAAACATTTAGTTATTGATAGGACTGCATGCAATGCAGCACGTATATGAAGAAATTGACATAATGAAACTAACATAAAGAATACAATAGCTCCAAAATTTTCTATTGGAGAAGAAATTGTTTGAACCAAAGAGCAGAACGTTTGGGGTATCTCTTTAAATTATTCTCAAAATCGATATAGTTGAGCCCAAATCTTTGAGTATATCCTGAAGCCCACTCAAAATTATCCAAAAGCGACCAAGCTAAATAACCCTTCACCTTCACTCCATCCCTAACATTAGGAAGAAAAAATAAGTATGAGGAGAAAAACCGAAACAGCAAAGTATGTATACTGTACCGTTGAAAATAAGAAGAACAAACAACAACCACAAACAAAGAATTATTTGCAAGCTTTGTCGTAAGTACGAGTATTTGGAGGTCCTATGTTCAATTATCTTTTATACTATATATGACATTTTTTTATATTTTTTCTTATTTTTCAAGTTATGCAGTAACTCCGTACAAATATCTCCTAATTAATTAATTTCTCAGTTACAATGTTTGTTGATAAGTTACTTTTGACATTCCCCTTGTATGTTATTTAGATACGTTGTTCTAATTAATTCCAAATGTCTATACTTTTCTTAATAGAGGAAATTTAATAAGAAGTGAAGATACTCACTTGAGGGCATCGTTGAGCATCAAGAGATGACGACGGTGGAAATTAACCCTTTGGATGTCATTGACTCCTGGTTCAACTGCTCTGGTATTGATATCACTCATACCTAATTACCATATAAGAGGCCAAAACATTAGAAGCTGAATAAACAAGGTAAAATTATTTGTATTATAATAAAAGACTGCTGATTAGGTACCATTTTCCGTAATATAAATTATTGGATTATCGTATTTTTCCTTCGCATAGACGAGAAGATTGCGTAAACCTCTCGGGACAACCAAAATATTACTTGAGCCCGTCTAGGAAAAAATGAAAAAAAACAAATAAATGCATTAGTAGAAATCAGGTGCCCTAACAAAACAAAAAAGGAAAAAGATTATTTCCTAAATAAACTTATCGAAAAAAACAAAAGACATACCGGTTCACCAATAAATTTGCCATTTCTTAATGCTGCAAAAGAGAAATAAAAATAAATACTTAATAAATATGCATGGGACACTAAGAGCAGAAAATTATGATTTGCTCTTGAAAAGCTTATATTAAATTACACTTACGTGTTTGAGTGACTTGAGAATCAGTTGAATAACGAGGATTCAAATTATTATCAACGGGAGTAATTTTATTGCGTGCATAAGTCGAAGTATAGTAGTTTAGACCCAAGAAATCAAAGGAACCTTTCACCATTTCAGCTTCCTCCGCAGTGAAATTTGGTAAACGACTTCCCACAAGTTTACGCATATTTTCTGGATAGTCACCATAAGTTAACGGACTCATAAACCTGCAACAAAAATGGATGGATTATTATTCGCTAACTAATAATGTGGGGGTTGTTACGCGAAAATTAATTATTTTAACATTTTTTTTGTTTTTAGTTACTCTTATTATTGAGATGTGTATATACATTTCATATGTTTCTATACATTGTACGCTTACCCGTTAGTATTATACAGTTAGTTAAGGCTAGCATAACTGTCAGTTAGAATTAGTTATTTTTTTGTTTTATACTCGTGTGTATATATGTACTGATATGCAGCAATACAAAGATGAGAAGTTCATTTCTTTTATCTCTGAAATCAATCCTCTTCTCCTTTCTCAATCGAAGCTTCTCGAGCTCTCTAATGGAGTTTATCCAAGTAACAACTTGTCCGCTTATGGCGTAAATTAACATGGTATCAGAGCACGGAGACCTTCGATCCACTCGTAGCATTCGTCCCTCAGTCCAAAGGACTTCTCGATTCTGTTCTAAATTCCTTTCAATTCATACTGTGTAAGTACCTAATTTTTCCCTCGATCTAGTTTTCTTCGATTTTCGACTGTGTATTTCTTCAAAAATAAACATGGTTGTTACTGATTAAAGCAATGGAACTGGTACTACTCCAAATGTCGAAGTTGTCCCTAATTTTGTAATTGATCCTAGTAATCCATCCTGGAGCTATGTTAGTCACCGTAGCCTTTAGTGGAATTGGATATAGGTCATGGCGCCGTGCTGTTTTGTGTGGTTTATCTATCAAAAATAAGACTGGATTTATCAGTGGAGAGTGCAAACGACCTGATTCTCAGTCACCTAAATTTCGACAATGGGAACGTTGTGATGATATGGTGACCTCTTGGATTCTTAACACTAGCAAACGAGATAGCATATAGTGTAGAATATGCTAATGATGCAGTTGAACAGTGGATCCAAATTCAGAAGGAGATCAGTGATTTATCCCAGGGTACTTTGGATATCACTACCTACTATACTAAGCTGAAGAAGCTTTAGGAAGAACTGAGCACCTTGAGTGCAAAGATACAATGTTGCTGTCAATGCACTTGTGGTGCCAAGGAGAATATGCACAAAGCAGAACAGGACATGAGAATTATTCAATTCCTTATTGGATTGAATGAGGTTTATACAACAGTAAGGGGTAGTATTCTCATGATGAATTCACTGCCCTCAATGGCACAAGCCTTTTCATTGCTCATTCAAGATGAAAAGCAACGAGAGATGAAACCTACAAATCATTTGTCTCCAGAATTTATTTCCCTTCATGTCAATACTTCAGGAAATGCCAACAATTTTGGGAACAATAACTTCAGAACCAATTATGCCCCCAATGCTAACTTTCCAAACACCAGCAGAACTAGACCATTATGTGATTACTGCAAATGCCTAGGTCATACTAAGGAAAATGCTTCAAGCTTCATGGTTATCCTCAGGGCCACAATCAGAACTTCAAGTATAACAAAAATAAGAGGGTAATAGCCAATGCACATGTCACTTCTCTAGATGAAACATGTGCTAAAACAGATGAGTTTAGACCCAAAGATGAAAGTCAGAATCTAAACTTGTCTAAGGAACAATACGGTCAATTACTCAGTATCTTGCAACACTTTCATGGGAATAGTGGAGGAGAAAGCTCAAAGAGTACAAATCATGGGACTGGTGCTGTGAACCTTGTTGCAGGAGCCATACCTTTTGCAGGTATGATCACTTTCACTTCCTCAATTGATTTTGAGAAACTATCTTGTAAATGTTTCAGAACTTGGATTGACATATGGATTCTAGATTCTGGGGCATCCCATCATATGACTTTCAATAGATCTTCTTTGCCAGACATTAGAATACGACCCTATCCTTTGTTGGTTACTCTCCCAAATGATTACAAAGTTAGAGTGACAAAAATTGGTAATGTGTCACTTGCTCCTCAAATCACCTTGCATAGAGTCATGTTTGTCCCATCATTAAAATTTATTCTAATATCTATCTCTTCTTTGACTGCTCAACTCAAGTCTTTAGTGGCCTTCATTGATGCTTGTTGTCTTCTGTAGGCCCCTTCAATAAAGAGGCCTCTGGAGATTGGTACGATCAGGGATGGGTTGTATCTCCTTTTCTCTCTCTATCTGAAGAATGCCAGTAATATTTTAGCATCTATTTTTTCTGTTTCTTGTATTCCATCTCACACTTGTGATGTAAATAAATCCATCTGCAAGAAATCATCTACTGCTTGTGATAAGGACTCCTCACAATGTGATCGCCTGTCAAGTGTACATAAGTCCATTCTTAATTAAATTTCTGTTTGTGCTCCTTTCTCTTGTTTGTCTCATGGCAATGATGTGAATGTATTGTGGCATAATAGGTTAGGACATGTTCCTTTTGTTAAAACGAAGAGCATTTCCACCATTCCTATTGCTTTTTCTAACAAACAGCCTTTCATGTGCTCCATCTGTGCAATGGTCGTACAAACCAGGTTGCCATTTCCCCAAAGAACCAGCAATACCAAATAGATATTTGACTTGTTACACATTTATCTATGGGGACCATATCATATACCTACCTATAACAATTACAATTATTTCCTTACCATGGTAGATGACAATAGCATGACCACTTGGACTCACCTCTTGTCCAGTAAGAGTAATACCCTGCAGGTTGTCAAAGCATGTGTTTCCCTAGTTAAGAACCAATTTCACACAACCATAAAGTCGGTCAGATCATACAATGGTTTAGAAATCACTAGTGTGGAACCTACTTCTTTCTTCTAAGATCAAGGCATTGTCCACCAGAGAACTTGTCCATATACACCACAACAGAAAGGTGTAGTTGAAAGGAAGCACAAGTATCTTTTAGAGATAGCTAGGACACTCCTATTTCAGCCAAAGTTGCTTGTGAGGTATTGGGGAGAGTGTATTCTAACAGCTACATATCTGATAAATAGACTACCCACTTCTTATCTCAAAAACAAATGTCCGTTTGAACTTCTGTACAAGACATAGCCAAACTACTCTCACCTTAGGAGTTTTGGTTGTCTGTGTTTTCCTACCATACCAAAAACACATAGAGACAAGTTTGAGCCCAGAAGTGTGCCACATATTTTTATTGGGTATCCTTTTGACACCAAAGGCTGTAAAGTGTTGGATCTGGAATCCAAAAGGATCCATATATCTAGAGATGTAACCTTTCATGAAAATATTTTTCCTTTTTCCATTTCTCCTACTACTGGTTCCTTCCCTTCAGCCATTCATTCAATTCCTTTCATCATTGAACTACACACTGATGCTCTTCAACCCACAATAGGCATTCCATCTAATTCAGACGATGTTGAGACTACATCTGATGAGTCTACCCTCAATCACTCTGTAGATTCTTTTCTTGAACCACAACTTTCTAGCATTCCTATTGTCACCTCACAAGACTTACCTGATAACACCTTACAGGATCCTCCACCAACTCTAGAACCTAGGAGATCTGGGAGATAACACAAGGTCCCTACTCACTTACAAGATTATGTTTGCAATGTACCTCAATTGAAATCCACTCCTCCTTCTGTAACTAATGACCAATCAACATCCTCCACTTCTCTTAGTGCCCTATTTTCCTTAAACAGTGATATCTCGCCTGCATCTTTAATCCATGATAGCCAATTACTTGTGATGAATGTTTGCAATGACTGTGAACCATCTTCATATGAGGAAGCTGCACTCAATCTAGCATGGCAAGCAGCTACGACTTAGGAGTATGAGGCATTGCATGCTAATCATACATGGAATGTTGTACCCTTGCCAAGTGGGAAGCAAGCCATCGAGATGGGTTTATAAGATAAAGCACAAAGTTGACGGGACAGTGGAGAGAGTCAAAGCTAGATTGGTAGTGAAGGGTTATAGTCAACAAGCAGGCATAGACTACGCTGAGACCTTCACCCATGTTGTAAAGATGACAACAATAAAAGCCCTCATAGCCACATCAGTAAAGAAACAATGGCAAATTTTTCAGTTAGATGTGAATAATGCTTTCCTACATGGGGATCTCCATGAGGAGGTGCATATGCAAATGCCACCGGGACTAGCAACTGGTTCTCCAGGCTTGGTCTGCAAGTTGAACAAGTCATTGTATGTCCTTAAACATGCAAGTAGACAGTGGTACTCTAAGCTAACTGAAGCTTTATGTTCAAGGGGATACGTATACTCCTAGAATGATTATTCCCTTTTCTACAAAAAGACAGAACACTCCAAAATTTATATAACTGTCTATGTAGATGATATCATTGTTACTGGAACAGATCTTTTAGAGATTATTCAACTCAAACTTTTCCTACATGATCAATTTAAGATCAAAGATCTAGGAAGACTACATTATTTCCTTGGTCTAGAGGTTCTATATACAACTAATGGTGTGATCATTTCACAAAGGAAGTTTGTTATGGACATGCTTAAGGAAAATTACTGTTTCTCCTATAGTAGTCTTTCTACTCCTCTTGATCCTAATGAAAAGCTGAGTGCCAAAGAGGGAAAACCATTACCAGATCCTACATATTACAGAAAATTTGTGGAAAACTCACAAACACCATATTAGACATAGCCTTCAGTGTTCAAAAGCAGAATATAGGTCCTTGAGGAAAGTTGTAGGAGAATTGACTTGGTTGTGCAGACTATTTGATGAACTTACTATCTCTTATCCAAGCCAGTCTTAGGCTTCCGTGACAACCAATCTGCTCTACACATAGCTAGAAATCTTGTCTTCCATGAAAGAACTAAACATATTGAAGTCGACCGTCACTTTGTGAGAGACAAACTTCATGAAGGCCTCATCTCTTTACATCACATTGCAACTAGTGCTCAACTAGCAGGTCTTCTTACAAAAGCTCTCACTGGTATCAAGCATTCTGCTCTCTTAAACAAGTTGGGTGTGAAGATTTCACTTCCAAGTTGAGAGGAGGGGGGGTATTGAGATGTGCATATACATTTCATATGCTTCTATACGTTGTACTCTTAGTTGTTAGTATTGTACAGTTAGTGGTA